GGGCGCCACTGTAGAGAAATTAGGTATTTTTTGGAACAGGAGATATGAAAAATGAACAACGCATTCGCCAGGAATCGAACCTCGGACCTCTAGAATACGCGCCCAGTGTTCTGACCTCTACACTACGAAGGCTTGCTAGGAAGGCGGGAGAAATACCATATAAAGTATGGCCAAAACGTTTATTTCTTTCTTGACTTTACTCAGGCAAACAAAGTAAGTCTTAAAAAAATATATTTAAGTAAAACCTTTACAGTTTTTCTGTCATTTCACATATTATTTGTGCCATTGTATTGTAAATTTCATGTCAAAAATTCAGAGAAATAGAGATTTTTATTTAAAATTTTAAAAAAGAAAATGTTATAAAGCTCTGTTACAAGAGGCAAAATTATTAGGTTATTCTAAACCACTTTCAATAATTTGTATTTTTGCCTGATGTTCAGAAAACAGAAAAAATAAATAAAGAAAGAAACTAATAATAAAAGTGTAGAGTCATTAGATTATTTTGAAGCTGAAGTCATGAAAAATGAGCAATGCCCTCGCCTGGACTGGAACCTGGACCTCTCGAATACGCGCCGAGTGTGCTACCGTTACACTACGAAGGCATGTATAAAGGTGGGAGAAAATACCTTATATACCTCCCCTTTAAAAGGGCGACTGGGGATTGGGGTATCCAATCGCCAAATTCTGGTGGTGAAGAATCATCATCAACCACCTTTTTAGTTCGGGTGCCACTGTGGAGTCATTAGGCTATTATGAAGCAGAAGTTGATGAAAATGTACAGTGCCCTCCCTGGGACTCGAACCTGGAGCTTTCGAATACACGCCGAGTGTGCTAACCGTTACACCACGAACGCATGCAGAAAGGGCAGAGAAATAAAGTCTTATAAAGAACTGTAGAGGGATCTTTCCACAAAATATCGAATAAAACTTTCGTGGGTGAAAGCGCACGCTGTGTATGAGGAAAACGACCTTGCAAAAGAGGGCGGACGCCCTTTCAAAAGAGGGCGGACGCCCTTTCAAAAGAGGCTGCTACTGAGATAAATATAGAAAGAATAGATTATCGGAAGTCTAAACGGAAATATAAAATAATCTCGAATAAGGAAAATGGATTTAAATATATATAAAGAATGGGAAAGTAAACAGAAAGATTCAGACCATAGAAAGGCTACTTGGAAAACATTGAAATCTCGAAAAAAAAATTAAAACCATAACCAATAAAGATCTTTGTCAGGTTTTCTCAGGTCCCGGTAGATTCCTGGCATACCTAATAGATTTAAGATTCAAGAAAGCGCAAACTGTTTACTATTCGGAAAGCTGGGAAATATCAGGAACTACATGAAAGAATGTGAATTAACGAAACACCTTATGTAGCAAGAAGGACTTTAAAGACCTGGTTTATAATAGAAACGAAGCAAAAAACGTAGAAAAACAGGTCATGGAAAGAATTAATAAAAACCTGGTCGCAATTGGAATAAAATAGTACCAAAGAACACCCAATTTGGCTGCTGCTGGTGACTTCTTTTACATACGTTGTGTCGTCCTATATGTTTTTCCTTCGTGGCTGGTCTAGAAGAGCCATAAGGCCAGCTTGGGCTCGCGAGGAGGGTGGACGGCACCATGCCTCCATACCTTATAAAGTAATTAAAAATGAAGTAATTAATAACTAACAAAAAGCAATTAATTATTAAATTTGAAAGGTTGCTATTCAATTGGAAACTGAATTTAAGTCCTACAACCCTACTAGACAATTTCGCCGGTTATTACTGCCTCTGAAATAGTGTTTAAAACCTTGGCAAGGTTAACATACTGTTACGAAATGTCAAGGCCTGGTAAAATAGCTTCCCCGCAAAGCAGGTTTAGGGTTGCCATAAAATCGAAAGTGAAGGCAGTGCTGCCACATTTGGCTTGAAATCGTCTATTTGGCGATATTTGGCGACAAAATTGGCGCTATACCATGGGCAGATGGAGAACCTTTTGAAACGATTTCTTCCCCGTTTAGGCCAGAATGTTCTTGAACACCAGCCGAAAGCTATATAAACCCTGCTGGTCCGCAGTCAGTTAGAGAGTGTGCCTCGCATAGAGTGCGAGATAGTTAGTCAGTCCGTGCGGAATCGATCAGGTTGACAGCCGGGCGGCGAGTGCCGAGTGGGTCGTCGAGTGCATCGGAGAGTCTCTTTGTGTATCGCGGTTAGTGCACCGTCGGGAGAGTGTGTTAAGCTCCGGGACGACTGAACCGATGAGACGGGAGCCGTGCTCTGTGTGTCGTCGAGTGCATCGCGAGTTGTAGCGTGGAGAGTCTCGAGAGTACGTGGAGTTCCGAGAACGACCGAGCAGAGTCGGGAGCTATACTCTGGTGCTTTGCAGTGAAGCTGTCTTCACCGTCATTGCCTGACAGCGTGAAGGCTGTATTGCTGATTGTTCCAGCGTGTTTATAGTAGATCTTCGACGACTGTAAAACGTGACTTTGGAGCTGTCCTGATTAATAGTGTCTGAATAAAGTGTGTTTCGATACTTAAACTAATAATAATAACGATAAAACTAAATTTTTATAAATAATAGCTCTTACCTGGTTCTTTATCTTCTGAGCTTCGGCGAGAGTAATTGAAAATAATTTAGATTTTAAATCCTTTATTGACCCATTCTAAACGAGGGACAATTCACACTTGCCAAGACATATCTTACACATAACTATCTTCTAAAAACTAAACAAAATAAAATCAGCTCCGAGTTCAAAGGTTCACTATCAAATACATTAATAATACACTAAACCAGCTTTACTGCTTAAGGCTGTCAATTCCTAAAAAGGAACCAAAATGCCAACGCAGTCATAAAATTACAAATTTTGAAATAATGATAGCTCATGAGCCACCCATCATTATTTCAAAATTTTTAATACAAAATAGATAAGAGGTGTAATGAAAAATATTTCTTGAACGTAAGGTGTTTTCATCACTGAATTATAAGTAAAACTTGTATTACTTGTAGCAAAGTCTTAATGGTAATAGGGAAAAAACATTTAGCATTACTTTAGAAATGTTACCGCACGACGTATTATAGATACCAACTTTTTTAAATTGCTTTGAGCTCATAAATGAAAATTAGAGTACGGTTACCCTTTTGAAGAGTATACCATTAAAATTTCAAAAGAGTAAAAAAAAAAAAAACTATTTAAAAAATTGAAAAATGCAAAAATTATAATATTAATAGAAAACTGCAATTTGTTTTTGCATGCAGATTTGAGTTTTACTCGTGGAACAATTTAAAGCTCTGCAATTATAATTGTCTTATTAGTTTAAGGATTAATCCCCCAGAAGGTAAAGATAGACATAACAATATTTTATTTATCTTATTTAATCCTTATTTTTACACTTGATTAAAAACACTTTAACTTGCTTTTACACTTGCTTTTTTTACACTTGCTTGATCGTCAGCTTGCAAATTAAGCTGACGATCTGCAGGATAAATTAAGAAATTTTCTTCGAAATACAAGCAACATAAAACTTCAGTTTCCAAATTAAATATCACAGGTAGACAATAAAGGAGCTGATGCAATATTTTCAGAGATGATTCAGCAATTTCCTTAAAAAAATAATATATCTGACTCTTTGTGCCAAACAATATATATTAGGACAGTTTTGAAGTAATTGTCTCTTAGTGATTTGCATTCAGATCATGGGGCGAGGCGTTTCAGTGGCAAATAGCCCAGTTGGCAAATCCAGGACATCTCGCTTTTTCCATACTTAGCTTTTACTTAGAGCTCAGTAAGTGTTCTAGGAACAGTCCTGGATTTTCATTCGAAACAATATTCATATTAAAGCTAAAGAGAGGTAGTATTTTTCTTGTTATTTATAAGTGCTCGAACTTCGTTCGAAGTATGAATTGCAGTAAATTAAAGAGCGACAGTTTTTGGCTAATTACCTATTTTCAGCTTAGCATCTTTATGTCATATCTGTTTGCTTTGATTTTTTTTTGAATTTTCCTTATCACACTAATCTAAATTTCTGATCAGAGTAGAGATTTCTTTTTCTCTACATTTCAGCTGTGTGGTTAAATATGCCAGAAATTCGTTTATATGTATGTGTGAGCAAAGTTTTGTTGTCGTACTTTGCATTCAAAGATCTCAGCTCCCACGTTTTTTTGCTTGTATAAGAGAAAAAGAAGGAAATTCTTGGGCGTTAAGGTGGGTTTTGTGAGTCTAGGCATAATTAAGTTCTGTCTATGAACTCAGGATTACGTTTTGTAGTCTGTCGCCTTGCTACATCTGAATTCTCAGTTTAGTGCTTTTAGGAATTCGAGTCGATTTTTAATCGTTTGCTTGTGATTTCAGATTTTTGAGAAATTACGTATACAAAATTTAACTGAGTCGTAGCTTCTTCTTATTGGCCCAATTACTGAGATTTCACAACTCTTTTGGATCATACCCTCATTTCTTGCAGGATTATGCTCCGACTACTACCATGCAATGGCATATGTTGATTTTGAAAATGGCATAATAATTTGCATCTGGAATTATGGCTCTTGTCAATTCAAATCGCAGGCGCATTGGGATTTTGTTTGATTGTTGTTTGCGTTTATTGTTCATTTTTGTTTTGTTTATGCATTCCCCCCCCTTGAATGTCCTAAGGCGGGCTTATGCCTAGTTAGGTGGGATGCGCATGTATTATTATTACCACCATAATATATAGGTAGCAAAACAAACTGTATAGGAAATTTAGATTAAAATGCAGTAATTTGTAATTTATCTTTTGCCTAAATTCTTTTATTTTTTAAAACAATTTTGTATCCGAGATCGTAATGGAACACATCACTAGGAGTCGCCTAAGTGTATAATATTATTCTCTTATTAATTTATCTAGATCGTAAATGTCAGTTATTTTTTCCAACAATGAAATATAAAAATTCGAAAGTAATTTAGAATTCATATAAACTGCTATTTTCAGGGGTACCTTTTTTTTTTAACAATTCAGGGAAACGGAACACAATCAACTTTGGAAAGGGCATCTGGCATCAGCTTTAAGTCACCGCACCCTACGAACGGTCCGAACAAGCTCGTTTAGGAGTGGGCGCAGGTAATAATTTGTCCCTTTAAATCATTCTTGATTGGTGTATTAAGTGTTTATGCTATTATTGAGATATTTTAAGTTCTGTATTGTTGTTAATGAACCATAATTAAGTGTTTAGGGATACAAATATCGTGCATTTGGCTTTTGTATTTGTCAAGATTTGTTGCTAAGACTTTTCTCCCCCTTACCCCCCTTTTTAAATGCGGCGTGCTTATAAATATTAATTATTGTGAACAGTATGAGTTATAAAAGCATGATGCGTTGTTAGTATTATATTAGGTGAAGTGCTGAGCTATATATTTAATTTCTTTAAAAAGAGTTCTTTCTAACTTGTAAGTGACAGATTGTTTTCATTTTTCGGTATTAAATTATGGATTTTCTCCTTCAAACCCAAATTTGATATTTTTATTAGTTACAGATTTCTGTTTTCTTGGGAAGTTTTAAAATTTTAAACTCCTGTGTTGTTAAGTTTTTATATTCGAAAGTTTAAAATGTGTAATTTAACGTGTGAGAGGTATTCAGTAAGCGTAATGGGATATGAAGTATGTTTTTATGCATTTAATTAAAATACATTATGCCTCGTAGAAAACGCTAGGTAATGTTCAGAGGTAAAGTTTCGCTTATTTAATACAAGCTGTATGTAAACCGAGGCTTTATTTTCCTGATTTCATCCACTATGGAATATTGCTGTTGAGTATTTCTGAAAAATTCCTTAGAGTTTTAATATATTTTCGTGAGTTTGTTACACTTTGCTTTGTTGAGAGCTTTTGTAATGAAATACTTATTTAAAGATAAATTTCTCTTTGGTAACATGGCATTCAAATTGTTATTTTCTAATGATATTACTGAGCAAAATATTAGGGATTTTAATAATATCAAATTAAACCAACTCCTGAATCTTGCTGTTAAATGTTGATCATTACTTAAAAATTCATTATACTTGGCATGCAGATATAATGCTTATTTATTACTCTGCAAAGTTGTAGCTAATGTACATGCTAATAAATTCACTGTGAAAATCCTTCAGTCCTCATATGTCATTTTAGTCAGTCCTTTGTGTTGTATAAGCTTCTCTGCTTTAGTGTAGAATTGGGTGCCCCTTAGATTAGTGACAGTTTTTTTAAAAATTTTGCCGATGAAATCTCACTTCTGGTTTCCATGATAGTTTTAGCTTCCTGATTTTATTTAAATTAAAATAGATTGATGCGTACATGGACAAATTTAAGGCAGTGCGCAATGCCTAGTTTGTGCAATTCTAAGATGTTTTTTTAAGTGATCGATGTGTACATGGACACAGAGTTTGTGCAATTTTTTGACTTCTTATTTTGGTTTTGTGTAGCGGCCATCTTGAAATTGTGCCTTCCTGGCGCCGATCTTGGCATCAAAAAAGAATCGGCAAAAAACAAGGGGCACCCAATTGTAAACTTTTACCAGCTTTTTTTCAGAAAAAAGAGCCCACCAGCGGCCGAGCGGTAAAGTCGCTGAGCACTGGTAGTTCGGTCCGAGGTTTGAATCCCGCGAACGGGCTGGCTACATGGGCGTTTTTGTGGTTTTCCCCATGTGTAATGTGTATACAAGCCAGTTTCCCTTAGAAAGTTCACCACGAAGGCATCCCTCCCCTTAGGCAGATAGCCTTCGAGGTTTTGCCGTTGTTGTTGGCAAATAACTTAACCATCTTTTCAGAAAAATAAAAGAAAATTGTTGCAAACTATTTTTTGTGTAATTGACAACTCAGTTATGCATGTAGTATCCCTCCAGAAGGCTTTCAACTTCTTTCCACTCCAGAAAGCTTTCCACATTTCATAAGTGAGACTGCAAATTATGATCCCTCCTGTAGGAATTTCAGCATTTTAACACAGCAGTGGACTACATACGTTAGTTTTCACTGTCTTGAGTGAAATCTCGTACTTACTCTCTCCATACATAGAGCGCGATGCAAATTGCTTATAAGAATCATGCCCCTATTTTCCCTTCTCATTTTTGGATTTTAGTTTGTGATTTTTTGTGGGAGTGCTGATTTAAAGTAAAAATAATGTAATTATTTTAAATAATGAATGAATCACCAAAGAAGGGCGGGAGGGGAGAGAAGTTACCTATATTTTCATTCATAATCGTTAAACATCGCATATTTCTGTGCGTTGAAAACTAAAATAATGTACATAAAATAATAATTATTCAGTGAGGGGGGGGGGAAATAGTGTAAAAATGAACCTAAGTTTGTTATTTTGATCTTAAATGAGTCCGAGTCGATTCTAAAATATTGAGTCTAAAAGATTTCTGAACACTTCATTTTTTTTTTTCATTAATTATAACTGATTTGAAAGGAAGTATGTTATGTTTAAGTATGGTACTGTGTATGTTGGCAAAATTTTTACTGTGTGGTACTGTCTATATTGCATAAAAATTTATGTTGCGCACCAAGTCGAAAATTTTTTACCTTAAATTATATAAAGTATGTCTAGCTTTGTAAAGTACACTTTTAAGAACAGTTTCATTTAGTTTTGAAGGGAGTTTATTTGATTACTTAATAATAAATGAAATAAATTACATTTCATTTATAAAGTGTTTGTTGAAATATTAGGAACTTTAGAATGCACTTAATGTGGAAGTTCATCTTAACGGAGAACATTCTTTCCCTTGGGATTTGTTAATATATGTGGTTCGTGAAAGTATTCTTTATCTAGATTTTCAGTTTGTTTTGAGTGTTTAATACCTAATCTGAAGTTTTGCTATAGTATCAAAAATTTGTATTTTGAAGGTAATACAGGGAGACTGTTTTAATAGTTGCTTTGAATTCTGCTATTGTCTTAGAATATGCATTTTTATAAAAATTGGTTTGATTTTTATTTGAGAATTTCGAATATTGATTGAAATCAGAATTATAATTTTAGTGGATTTTAAGAACTTTTTTACAGGGGATAATTGATTATGTATTAGATACAAATTATTTCATTATTTTATAGTAAATAAAACAGTAATATTTAACATAACGTTAACTTGGCCATGGAGTGCTCAATTAAGATAACCCTTTCAGTGCTCGTTATGATGACTACTCATAATCCCTTTCATTATAAGGATCTGTATAGAAAGTACTCATCTGATGCCAGCAATCATTATAATGATCACTCATTATAGTATCTTTTTTTATTTAGGAAGGAAGAGTTTGTTATAACGAATGTCAACAACTATAGTATGTATGATGGCGGAGGGGGGTTTGGTTTGGGGAGTTGCTCATCCTCTCTTATCAGTGTATGAAGTGTATCATTTGAGCAATTCCACTATGTATCTGCCATACTTATTATAAATGTAAAAACTTGAAAAGGTAACACTTGGCCCAGTTGAGCGTAGAACAGACTATTGAATGCGAATAATTGAAATACCTTGTTCAGGCTGAGTGCTTGGATCTAAAAAATCATAATTTAAATTGGATTTTCTTGTTCTTACTTCTGGGATGGCAGTTGTTTTGTGCATTTTCTTCTGTATAATTTTCACGAACAGCCTTAGTTAGCAATAAATTCAAGCTACAGAAATTAATAATGTATATATATATATATATTTTAAATACAAGAAACATTGATTCAAAAGCTGAGCTGGCTTTTTGATGCTCAGTAGAATCTTTGTGAATCCTAAATTTTGCTACTGGCGATTCTTCTGTAAATTTTTAAAACTTTGTCATGCCATAAGCTCTATTGCCCCTGTCCAAAATTAGCAATTAGAAAGTCTTGCACAAAGACATGTGTACAGATAGGCCTTGTGTACTTTGTCATAATTAAATAACAGTAAACATTAAAAATAAATAAATGAATAAATAAATAAAATCTGAAAGCTTTCAGATTTTACATTACGTTTAAAGGGTTGTTTTTTAATGTTTTCTGTATTACCTTTATTTATTAAATATCATGGTCTTCACACTTAAGCCATAACTCAGTTCAACAGCAATATTGCAAAATAATTTTAAAATGAGCATATCTGTAGAATTTCGGATACACACTCTCACTTAGTTGAGATAAAATGTTTTTTTTTTTTTTTCTCATACAACGTTGCCTTTGCTTGCTTCGAAATCTATGAGTTTGTTGATCAAAAATTCATTAAGCTTTTAGAAAATATGTAGATAATAAAACAACTTCTAAATTCCAAATTAGGACTTCCAGAAAAATGTGGGGGTGCTATGTACAGTTGTTTTATCATAATGTGAGAAACATACATATATTTATGCAGATACTTCATTTTTTAATTTCTTTAAATATAATACAGGGCTCTAATACTTGGTGGCAACAATTTAAAAAGTGTATCAATGTTTATAGTAAATCGATGTAAAATGCCAAAATGAAATTAATAGTCCCTCTGGGCACTTTGTCCCTGCATGACATTTTAAAAATAATTTAGATACCTTCAGATTATTCCTCTCCAATGCAAAGTCTTGTTGTTTACTATGGAGAACATACGTAAACGCAATCATGATAAATTTTTCATCAAGCTAATGTGCGAAAGAGAAAAACCATTTTCAAAATGATAGCTTGCTGTGAATTCCATAAACATCACAAATAAAATACGAACCTTTGAGAAAACCTTCTCTTTTGCCTCGCTTTTTCCATGTACACAGTGATCTATTTTCATTAAAAATGTCGGGGATCAGCACAAACTTGGCATTGTGCAGCATTCACATTGCATACTGGCCAAAACAAATGTGTGGTAGAAACATAACTGGATCTTGACATAGATATTTTATGGTGCACTCGTGTCGGTTGGTGCTAGGCATTTTCTCTCTGGTGCAGTCTCTGGGGGATCAAAATTCAGATGCCTTCTTAAATTTTAAAAATTTTGCCAGGCCGAAATTTGCTGTTCAGTGCCTGCTGTAAACTCTAAACACTTTGCCGTTCTGAAATTTTACTGCCCATTGCTTGCCCTAAATTCTAAAAAATTTGACATCCACAAATTTTTGTTGCTTAGTGCTTCCCAGAATTCTAAATATTTTGCCACATCCAAGTTTTGCTGCCTAGTGCAAC